GTGGCGTCCAAAAGGAGTTACTGGCGTTACTGCCGTGAGTGCGGCGACCACTGCCAGCGCCCTCTGACTGCGTCCGGAGCCCCTCCGCCCTCTGACTCAGCCCCCTCCTGTCTCCACAGAGTGGCCGGAGTTCGTGAGGAACTACGCCCCGTGGTGGGCCACGCACACGCTCGACTGGCTCAAGTTTGGCAAGAAGGTGCTGGTGGTGCACTTCGAGGACCTGAAGCGGGACCTGTTCGTGCAGCTGGGCCGCATGGTCCGCCTGCTCGGCGTGGCCGTCAGGGAGGACCGGCTGCTGTGCGTGGAGAGCCAGAAGGACGGCAACTTCAAGCGCTCGGGGCTGCGGAAGCTGGAGTACGACCCCTACACCACCGACATGCAGAGGACCATCGCCGCCTACATCAAGCTGGTGGACGCGGCCCTGAAAGGCAGGAACCTCACGGGCGTCCCTGACGACTACTACCCCAGATGACGCGGCGCTGGGGAGGGGACTCAAGGCCCCTGGGGACTCCGCCCACCCGGCCTCTCTTTGGTAGGGGGACAGTCCAGTCCCCTGGGCTGCTGTTGGCCTCCATTGAGTTTCCTGCATGACAAAGGAGCCTGGGGGGGTGGGGGGGAGATGGTCCGGGCATGACCCACCTGCTCACAGCCCCCTTTACAGACGGAGGAGGCCTCTGATTGGGGGAGTTGCAGCCACATGGATCTTCTTGTGTCTCCCACGACCCTGTCCCCACCACTCTGGTTCCCCTTGTGGGAAGGAGGGCTCATGGGTGCCTCACCCAGGTGCCGAGGACCTCGATGCAAGACCTAAAGGGACTGTCAGAGAAAAGTAGCCCCCCCGTTGCTCTGCCCTCCTGGGCTGAGTTCTCACAGGCCCCCTTCTCTCCACCCAAGAAGCAGTGGCGCCCGGCTCATCAGGCCACTTGGGTTTGAAGGAAGTTGCTGGGAGTTTCTCTGTAGCATCAGGTTTCTCACCTTCTGGGGCGAGAGGGGAAGCACTGGCACTCACGGGAGGCTGGCTGGCACCACCCCATGGGGTCACTGGCATCATGAGCCCACCCCCAGGGCACTTCTGAGAAACAATCCAAGGCCAGAATCCTGCCTCTTTCCTCCCCCACTGGGCCCGGGCAGTGACCTTGGGATCCCTGATCCCACATCCAGGGTTCTTCAGGTACCAACAACTACCCCACCAGGATGGCCCCACCCCACGGGCAGGGTCTGAGTAAGAACACGGCTGCGTCGCGGGGTCCGACACGTTGATCTCACACTGCCTTCTGGCCCCTGCCAACGGAGCCTTCGCAAGGGAGCTCACGTCAGGTGGAGCCAACCCCGAAAGAGACCCCTGCCACCCCCCCAGACCATCGACCTCCCCGTGGTCACAGCCCAAACGCGGCCGCTTCCCTGGGGAGGCCTTTCGGGATGGAAATGAATGGAGGGCTCCCTTCACTTCCATGCGAACACTGCTCCCGGAGCTGAGGCATGAGACCAAAGGATTCCTGCGGACGCGAGTCCCTGATCCTTAGAAAGCACTGACCCAGGATCCCTCCGCCTCCCCCACCTGGAGACCGGCGGCTGCTCACCGGCCCACACCTGCTCTCCTGCACCGTCCCCACCACGTAGATGCAAAAGCCATAGGTCACAGCTCTTTACTCTTCTGTTTGGAGCCACCCCCTCCCCCCAAGCAGCCCCCCTCTGAAGCCTCGGGGTGCAAGTAAGTGCTCATTCCCAAATAGCCAAGAGACTACAGAGAAGGCGAGTGTAAAGAGATATATTTTTTTAAGAGGAAAATGACAAATACATTCCGCCCCTTGGAACCTGGCCATGCGAACAGAAGGGGCCAGGGAACCGGACCTGCGCTTCTCTCCCTGAGCCCCTCGCCTGTCGGATTTGGGCGACCCCAGGGCCCGGCCAGGAGGCTCTGAATGTATTTTGTACCGTGTTTCTTTCCTCCCCGGCTCATTTCTAGTCTTCTTTCTCGAAGCAGTAGAGGGCTCGGCCTCCCCTCCCACTCAGAGGCCAGCTCCCTCTGGGAGCCTCTTGGTCCCAGACCTGGGCCAGCTCTTTGCCGGTGGTCACCTCCGGCCACAAGCCTCTGTCTGAAGATTCCTCAGGTCAACACCATCATTAAAAGTGGGTTTTGTTGATAATTCTATCCCGTGGCGGAGTGTTGTGTAAGCCGCGCTCACAGTGGGATGTTTTTCAGGTGTGTCTGGGTATGTAAGAGACAGAATGTTCTGGGTGCATAACTGCCTTGTGCCTGCGTGACTCTGGAACTGCCTGTGAAGAACCAGGTGCCACTGTGTGTAAAATTGTCCCTGTGTTCAACTAACTGCCCTTCTGTGTCGTGAACCTGCATCCCCCCAAGCTGGTCTGGCCTGGCCCCCATATCTGATGTGTGTGTGGGCTCCTGTGTGTGGAATCGCACACGCATGGAGGAGGAATCGCGGGTGTGCGTGAACTCGTGTATGAGAAGGTGCCTGTGTATTGTGCCTTTTGTCCTTGGCAAGTGTGTGTGTGAAGAGGGGCTACAGCGAGGGGAGGATTACCAGAGGGAGGTGTGAATGTCCTGCCTGGGAGCCACTGAGAGTACAAAGGGACAGAGAAGGGTCAGAGCAGGCCCCTCTGTGCCCTGGTGGGTGGAGTGAGTCTCAGTTTTGTTTGTTTTTTAAACATATCTTTATTGATCTCGGAGAGGAAGGGAGAGAGAGAAACATCAATGATGAGAGAGTCATTGATCGGCTGCCTCCTGCACGGCCCCGCTGGGGATCCCGCAGCCCGGGCCTGTGCCCTGACAGGGATTCGAACAGCAGTCTCCCGGATCCCAGGTCGATGCTCAACCCCTGAGCCGCTCCCGGCTGAGTGAGTCTTATTTTTTTTGTGTTTTTTTAAATCCTCACACAAGGATATTTTTTCATTGCTTTTTCAGAGAGAGAGTGGAAGGGAGAGAGACACATCGATTGGTTGCCTCCTGCACTCGTCTCAAGCCGGATGGAGATGGAGCCTGCAACTGAGGCACGTGCCCTTGGCCAGAATCGAACCCGGGACCCTTCAGCCCGCAGGCCGAGGCTCTAACCACTGAGCAACCCTGCCAGGGCCAGTCTCCGCCCTCTTAATCACGCTTCAGCAACCCTCTTGAAGCAAATCCATTTCAGACCCAGAAGGAGCCAAGGTAGCGGTTGTCGCCTGTTCCTTCGTTTCTGCAACAGTCTTTACTGAGCATCTACTGTGTGCCAGGCACCGCTCTAGGTTCTAAAGATTTAAAAAGGAACAGAACAGACAACGCTCCCGCCCCTGCAGAGGTCACGTTTTCCCAAGTACTGAGCAGAAAGCTTTTGGGGAGGCGATGATGGGGCAGAGAAGGAAACAGACCTGGGTGGCCCCTAACCAATGCCAGGAGGTCATTCCTCCCCGCCCCCCATTATTCAGTGGGGACGCTGATTCGCAGAGACTGGTGGTAACCCCAAGTCGCACAGAGATTAATAGCAGACCTGGGGAGGAAGGAAAGCTTGGCCTCCCGGTGCAGGGGACAGGCCTGGTGTGGGAGCTGGGACACCTGGGCTCCCA